GAGCAAGAGATTTAGACAGTTAGACAGAAAGTTTGTCAGGGGCGGACACTGAGCGACAGAAGCAAAGAAAGAAAGAATCAAGCTAGGGAACACTCCAAATTGACTAAAGGCCTCTTTAATTAAGGGCTTCTAATGCTTTGGTTGTAGGCAGGCCAGGTCCAACCCTTTGTTGTTCTCCTCTGAAGAGAAAGAAAGGAGCTAACTCTTTCTTGCTTGAAAGAAGGAAGACATGCCTCTCCTTTACAGTCTCACAGCTTCTCTCCTTCACAACCTGATTGAACTCGAAACTAAAGCAATTATGATCACAAGATAGCTTTTAATCTACGTTCTGACTTCTCTCTCTTTCACTCGGGTTTCACTATTCTTTCACGAGGTAAACTTCCCTATACAAAGAAGATTCTCGTAACCCTCCATTGGACTGATTGAACGAGGTAAATAGGTTCAGGATAATTCATCTTGTTGAGTTTCGTCTTGAGTTGAGTCTTTCAAGCAGAATCAAAGGAAAGAAAGGATCAGAGAAAGAAGCTGAGGTTCAGGAGAGAAGCTGCTTTACCGACTGTAAAGGTGAAAGAGTGAAATCAGTCTAATTCATCTTGCTTCTTCTTCTTTTCTTACTGTGAAAGAAGGGACAGGGAATGGAATTGTGAAACCTAGTTTACGAGGGGCAGGCAATGGAATTGTTCAACCGAGTTTACGAGGTGAAGGGGAAGGAGCTTGACCTGATGATACTTTACGAGGTTCAGTAGTGATTGAGTTCAGTCTCTTGACTTCCTTTAACATTACCTCTAAAATATCCCAAAAAATAGACAGAGGATAGCATTTTCGAATTAATGGTCCTAACACGAAAAAGGGTTCAATCAGTCCCATTTAGCCGATTTGGAACTCTTTTACAGGGAAATCAGGGATTTTGACCTCCCTCAAAAATAGCCCAAAAAATAAGGGAAGGATAGCATTTTATCCAAAAAAAAAATAGACAGAGGATAGAATTTGAGAATTCATGGTCTTTACAGGAAAAAGAGTGTTTGAAGGTTCAGGATCAGATCAAGAATGATTCCTTCTTACAGAAGAGTAAAAGAGTGAAAGAAGAAGAATACAGTTTACCTCAATAAATAAGGGAAGGTCATATCGGTTCCGGGGAAGGTTCAGTCGCTTCTCTTTCTTTCCTTCCTGCCTACCAGTTCCTTCAGAATTACCTAAAAAATGATCTTTTACAGTCATATAGGATAGAATTTCTTTTCTTTCAGCAGCTTTATCGAGGGAAAAAGCTCTTTTAATGTTTTACCCCTATGTTGGATAGAATTTCTTTGCTTTCCTATGCAGCTGTTAGGGAAAAACCTCTGACGAGGTTTTACAGTTATATGGGGATAGAATTTATTAGCTTGAAGCTGAAGCTGTTAGGGAAAAACCTATTACGAGGTTTTACAGTCATATAGGATAGAATTTTCTAATTAATGGTCCTTAAGAGTGAAATCAGGTTCAGTAGCGAAGGGAAGGATCAGAGTCTTTGTTTACTGTTCAAGAATAAATAGTCAAAGGGTGTCGGTTTCGGTTCAGGTTTTCTCTTTCGTCTTGACTTCCTTAATGCAATAACTGCACAAGGAAAGGAGTTAAGTCTCATTAATCTTTGTTACAGTCGAGTCAAAGAGTGAAATCAGTCCAGGGTTACTCGAAGAGGGAGTAAGTAGCGAGACGAGAAGCTGCGAGACTGGAAAGGAGAGGGGAACGGCTTCGTAATTGAAGGAACTCCAAAAGGCTGTTTTCAGTGTGACCATGAAGCTGGCTGGGGGATAAGATAGGTCTGACTTAAGATTGGTGGGATAGCACCTGTAGGGCTTCTTGCCACCGTCTTGCTTAATATTTGATATAATAAAAAGCGATCGGGAATTTCTAACAAGTATTTCTTAACCAGATGATGTCCTCTTTAAACTTTCTCCTTCAGGCCTCCCTTCAAGTTTTTTAAAACGTGTGGAGAGGTTTCCACACTCTTATAAAAAATGTTTTGTTCCTCTCTTCAACCGATGTGGATCTCACAATTCACCCCTTTTGTGGCTTAGCGTCTTCACTGGCACATTGCTCGGTGTCTGGGCTTGATACCATTTGTAACCGCTCAAGCCTACCGCTATCATTGGAATAGAAAAAATAAAACTTCTCCATGACTCGATTATTATTGGAATGAGTATTATCAGGTGTCAGTTTGATGAGGCAATCGAGGTGCACTATCAACTTTGAAAAAACTGGTACAATCATGTCCTGGAGTTCTAAAGATTCACACAACCTATCTTTACGTGATAATATTTGATACAGTTCGGTGGCCCATGATGTTGATTTTAACAAAACTTGATTCTTGACTTTAGTAGAAATGATGTGTATATATATTTGAAAGAGTTAAAAATTGATAGTTAAATTTTGTTTTTAACTGTTTGCCAAATATTAAACACAACATTAGATAATATGTAAAGAAGTAGTTATGGGTAACGTTACGCATGGAGTGATGTCAAGGACGAAGCCTTTTTCAAGAGAGTCGTGGGGTTATGGTTATGTTCTGTTTTTGGGTATTATTTGTCGAGTATTTAAGGCTCCACTCTAAAACAGCCTCACAATTCCACGCCCAATTCAAATCACCCTTTTCTTTCATTTGCATATCTCCTTTGATACTTTTCATGAAAATGCTAACTTTCACATTATATGAATTTTTAAAAGTTTCAATATCCTACTTATATTTTTAAAAATTTGTTAACGTACTTAATATTTAAATTACCATTACAATTAATATATAGACAGAATTTAAAAAATATTCATACTCCATGCTTCCAAAAGTAATATTAAGACTCTCAATCTTAAAAAGATGATAATAATAATAACAACAAAAAGTTTTTAAGGGTATTTTTATACTTTAATTAAAAAATTAAGAATATTCATAAAAATTAGAATATTTTTTTTAGAGGAGAATACTATTAAATATTATTAGAATTTATAAAAATTTAAAAATATTTTTGAAATAAATGTGAAATTAGTGATATTTTTATTAATTGATCAATAATTAAGCGTCAAACTGTGGGATGTTTCAATGAGAAAACCCTACAGAAATCAACAAATTCACAAAAAGTTAATTATTATTACTTTACCAAGATTTAATATAATAGCCTACACCCATGTAAATCACCCATTAATGTTGAATGTAAATGGCTTATATTGCACCACATTTTAGTTACCAAAGCCACAATATTTTATGATTAATGTTCATGCACCCTTTTGTACTACGTAACCTATTAATCGACGAGGTGAGTCAAGTTCGTTGGGATACCTATCAACTTTTTTTTACATATACTCTCATCTCATGTCAAGTTAGTACTAAGTTTGATTATTTCTAAGATTTAGTATAAATTTAATAAAAACCCATACGAATGTTTATTTGTCAATTATTTTTGTCCACCTCCTTTCGGGGCCAGTGTTGGCACAATTTGTGATATCTTTTGTAAGGGCCTAGGCCCACCACCTATCGATATTGTAGAGGTTTTTCCTCTCAGATTTCCATTCGAGGCTTTAAAATGCATATATTATTGTCTAATATCATATAATTTATAATATATTATTAAGCTTTTTCTTGGTTCATTCTTAGCGTGACATATATTTCAGATATTGATTAATAAATAATAATTTGCATATATTAGTATGGAACATTATATTGATAATCCATTTTTATAGATTTTTTTATTTTTAATCTTTGTTTAGCTTTCTCTATTATTTTTGTACATTTCCTATAGTATTGATTTGGAGTATACATTCGATGGCATTAAATAATGAATTAAGGCAGTCGTAGGGAAGTAAATAAGGGTCAGGATCGTGGCCCATATTCTTTTCCTCCCACCAACTCAACTCTTATTTCTCCACAATTCAAGAACGTGACGTTGGGAGTTAAAAATGTATGTATATATATATATATATATATATAAGTCACTTTTGTTTATATCATTAAAGTGATTTAAACTCTTTTACAGTGATTTAAACTCTTTTAAAATTCAATTATAAATATTTTAGAAAGTTAAACAATTAGATATATTTATTTAACCCGAGAAATATTATTTTGTTTATTATGATAGGTTATAATATTATATTTAAAATTATTAAGTTTTTGTTAAAGAAGTATTATTATAATAAAGATTAATTTAAAAATTAAAAAATAGATAAACATTTTCATGAGAGCTGGATCTTCCTCTAGAAAAGAAAAAAATAATAATAATAAATTATTTTATAAAGATAAAGATTGAAATTATTTTACGAAGATAAAGATTGAAATAGGTGATAGGAGGTGATGGGACACAGGAGAAACCTCCGGTAGCCACATTGTAGAGAAATTACGAGTGATGATCAAATATGATCTGTTTCATTATTCTAAGTCGTTACTCTATTCTTGGTAATGAATAACTTGTTGTTCTTTAACTCTTAAGTTCTGTTCATTGCTACCAACTTATACCTAAAAATAGGAGGAAAATATAAACTAACTATTACCGTTAATCAAATCCTAACGTAAAATATTAATGAATATCTAAAATCAAACCAAAATATAAACTAACTAATACTGTTAATCAAATCCTAACATAAACTAATTAATTATTATAATATTTTGGAAATATCAAATCCTAACCTAAAATATTAATGAATATCTAAAATGAAATCTTAACCTAAACTAATTATTATAATATATTATTCAAATATTATATCTTTTAAAAATTTTTGATATGTTTATAAACAAGGTTTCTTTCTTCTCTCCTCTCCCCTCCCATCGATATAGATCTTGTATCGATATAAGAAAATAAATAATAAGTGAGGTTTCATTCTTACGTTAGCTTACAAAAGAAACTTATTTCTTTTAATTATTACTTTTAGTAATATGAAGCGTAGGTGAGTACGCAATTTCTTGTATACTGTAGGATGAAAACATCCATTAACGCCTTGAGGGAGGGAGATTTATTGAGGGTTTGGACACCCATGCAAATCACTCCATGACTGTGTCAAGGTGGTGGTCTGTAATGCACCACATTTTAATTACCACACCACCACCGATTCTCGTTACCATAAATAACATTCATTCCGCAACCAAATCATCCAAATTAATTACCTCCCTTATATCTGACTACAACTACAGAGCGTATGCCTTCCTCTGTCTTCCAATGGCTGAGCCTCCTCGGAATCATATGGCTTCAGTCCATCAACGGCACCAATTTCAACTTCCCCTCTTACTCTTCCCAACTCAAGCACCACCTTTCCATCTCCCAATTCCAACTCAACAACCTCGCATTCGCCTCCGACGCCGGCAAGCTCTTCGCCTGCGTCTCTGGCCTCGCTGCTAACTATTTACCCCTCTGGTCCGTTCTCATCATCGGCTCTTCTCTCGGCCTTGTCGGCTATGGCGTCCAGTACCTCTTCATCACCAACCAATTCCACTCCCCCTCTTATTGCCTCATCTTCTTCCTCACTGTCCTCGCCGGAAACAGCATATGCTGGATCAACACCGTCTGTTACATCGTCGCCATTAGAAATTTTCCCTCAAATCGCCAAGTGGCGGTGGGGATATCAACCAGTTACCAAGGATTAAGCGCCAAGATCTATACGGATATTGTCGGGTTAATATTCTCGAAACGCTCTGACAAAACAGCCGAGACATTCCTTCTGTCCAACTCTGTTTTTCCTTTGGGTGTTTGTGTTTTGGTGTCTCCAATGGCTAGAATTGTCGAATTGGTGGAAGAGCAAGGAAATTTGGAAGTTGGGTTTTTTGTAATTTTTGTGATAACCATAGCCACCGGCGTTTTTGCGGTGGTTACAAGCGTTGGGTCGATTTCCAGAATGTTGTCGCCATTGAGTGGGCTGGTCGGGATTTTGGTGTTCCTGCTCCTTCCGGTGGTGGTTCCGGTGGTAGAGAGTGTGAAGAAGTCAGTAAGAGAAGGAAAAGAGAGAAGGGTTTATCACTCTACAATGGAAGAGGATACGAGAATCCGACCGGAAAATGAGGCGAAATTGAACAGAGACGGCGGCGATGAGGCAATGGAGGAGATCGGAGCGATGGAAATGCTGAAAAGAGTGAACTTTTGGTTGTATGTTGGTGTTTACTTTTTTGGTGCAACCTTGGGATTGGCGTTTTTAAACAATTTGGGGCAAATAGCGGAGTCGCGGGGAAGCGAGAGTGTGTCGTCGTTGGTGTCGCTGTCGTCTTCGTTCGGCTTCTTTGGGCGCCTAATGCCGTCGCTTCTGGACCATTTTTTGTCGAGGTAAAATCAATGTGTTCTAAAACAAGCTTTTTGTGGGTGGGTATGTAATATGTATGATGAAATTTGGGTGGTTTTATAAATGGCGCAGGAGGAAGATGATGAAATCGAAGCCGGGTTGGCTGGTGGCATTGATGGGGGCAATGTGCGGGGGGTTCTTCCTTCTTTCAGGGCCGACGGATCTGATTCTGTGCGTGAGCACCGCCGTAATTGCAGTGTGTACGGGCGCAATTACTTCGATTTCCGTGTCCACAACCAGCGAGCTATTTGGGGCCAATAATTTTTCAATAAACCACAACGTGGTGGTTGCGAATATACCTGTGGGGTCGTTTCTTTTTGGGTACATGGCGGCTTATCTTTACCGGAAGCAAGCGACGGGTGGCGCCGGGAAATGCATCGGAGTTGAGTGCTACAGAACCACTTTTATGATATGGGGTTGCTTGTGTTCATTCGGGACTCTGCTGGCTCTGCTTTTGTTCGCTCGTACCAGAAGCTTCTACTCTACAACGAAGTCGCCGAGGGCGCAGGGCTCTACGTAGAACAAGGCTATACTCTTTTACGTATTCCTAGTTTGACACGCTAATATATTTGGACGTTATACTTTGTAGTTTCGGGTTCCATAGATTGTCTATTTTGAAAGAAATGAAATTGACTCAACTTCTTCTTCAGATCAAATTTTGAAAACCATTTAAATTCTAAGAAAAATTTTAAAAAAATAGATTGAGTGGCTTAGGCCTCAAATTAGCAAGGCCGGACTCACTCCCAACAATCTTAAGAGTTTCCACTATCCCCACCACTTATTTCATTTTCCATCCATGCAAAATTGGGACTTGGGTCCATGCAAAATTGGGACTTGGGTCCCAACAATCTTAACATCTCCTAGTCTCCATCCCGCCACCTATCTCATTTTCCAGTCCTCTCTCCTTATTAAGTGCGAGTCTCCACTGACTACTTTTTACTTGTAATTTACATAAAAACGGAGGAGTTCAAATTTTTTAGTTCACGAAGGTAGGGGGTGGTTTGAAAGTTGAACTAAATTAGGAAAAGAATTAACCATGAAGACGTTTTATATCTGATAAAGAGTGAGAAATTAAAGCACAAATGGTTGTCCAAAGCTCCATCACTAATTTTTATAAATTTATTTAATGTTTACCTAAACATAACCTCATTTCTTTAAATCTATTTTATTGCATGTCCAAACTGTCCTATCCTACACTACCATTTGTGGGACTAACAAATAAATAGAGAAGATATTCAACTTAATATTAGACATTTTCAGGGACTTATTATGTAATTTCTAAAAATAAAATATTTATTAAACACAATCTATTTTAAAGGTTGATGTCCCGACTAAATTTGTAATTTAAGTGAAAATAAGACCCTGAATTGAAGCTTCCGCTCCCGGGAATGGAAGTCAAATGCGGCCCGCCATCAATAAACCTACGTGGGCCATCCTTTGCATTTACGACAGCCATCTGCTTAAGATTTCATTGGGACGACACCGTTTTGGGCTGACGTGAACATAAGCTCATGCTGACGCAGCATCCACCTTGCCACGTCTCTGCCTTACACGTGTCGTCAAACATGTTCAAATAACGCAAAACAAATTGTCGTGACGTATGAATATGAGGTTCAAGTTTAAGCATGGTTGGAATGTTAATTTAAGGAATGAAGTTTATAAGCAATTAATAGTATCTCCTCTATTGGGATGAGGTCTTTTGGGAAAACCCAAAACAAGCTATGAGAACTTATGCTCAAAGAGGAAAATATCATACCATTGTGGAGATCCGTGATTCCTAACAATGGGTATAGAGCCATGCCCTAAACTTAGTCATGACAATAAATATCAAACAAAGAATTGTAAGCCTCAAAGGTGTAGTCATAAATGACTAAAGTGTCAAACAAAGGGCGTACTTTGTTCAAAGGCTTCAGAGAAAAGAGTCGAGCCTCGATTAAGGAGAGACTGTTCGAGAGCTCCATAAGCCTCAGCAATTTAGAGGCACACATTGACTAATTTAGAAAATGATCATGAGTTTATAAGCAAGAAATAATATCTCTATTGGGATGAAGCCCTAAGCAATGCCATGAAAGCTTATGCTCAAAGTGGAAAATATCATATCATTATAGAGATATGTGATTTCTATACTATTTAAATAGGTAAAATGTTTATTTATTGATATAAATACTATTAGTTTATGTATACATAATCATTTATTAACAATATTTCAAAGATTTAAGAACTCAAATGAAATAAAAGTCCAAAACCTGAAATAAAAATCTAAAAATTAAGTTAAATCAACGTCAGTACAGCCTTGTCAAAGGCTCACCTATATATTACGCCTTTTAAGCCGTTTACATTGAATGCAGGCACACTCCCTTATGGTGGTGCTGAATGATGCGGAATGCGGAATGCCGAGTGCCGAGTGGGTTGTCTGCGGTTGATGCTGAGCTATTAAACGGCCCCCCGCGGCTGGTGGGTGGCCGCAGACCACATCCATTCAATGCTCAATTCCCATAATTTGTACCATCAATAACTCAACTGCCTCCCATCCTCTTCAATACTCTTTTAAGTTTTTGCCTACTTCCAACAAAAGAGAGGCACACAAACAACACATCAAGACAATCTACCTTTTCCTGTCCATGCCTTCCAAGCATTCCTAACTTCCTCCAATTGTTCATTGGGAATGCTTGTGTACTTGTCCAATTTCTCCACCCATTCTTTCCATGGGGGTCTTTCTATGTCTAGAAAGTTAGTTACCTCGGGTAATATCGCCGATCTGTAGAATTCATTCACTGACTTGACAATGTCATCGGATTTGTTTAATGTGAGCAAGTCGGGCCTCTTTGGAGCTCCTGGTCGTTTTCTGTTGGAAAACCTGTTCCCTCTTAGGACTAAGACTTCAGCTGGAGCAATGGGCAGAACTATTCTAGAGAACTTGCTCAGTGACAATGCTATGATATCTCTTGGGAGCAGTTTCCGCTTCACGGCAATGGCTGTGCCTACCATCTTTCGAATCTGCCCAGGATATAATAAAAGCAGCATGAGAATAGCCCTTTGATTTAAAAGTAGAACATTAACTACCAAATACTAATTTCTGATGGAGCCAACTTCATCCTTAATGTATCATATAACGACTTGAAAAGTATAAAAAGGACGCCACCTTGCCACTTCCCATATCTCCTTCAAAGTCCTAAACCTGCAATAATGCCTTCCATTTCTTACCACTTTTGAGTATGATAAATGTGGAAGTGTGGGTTCGAGCCTCCACCTCAAGATAAGAGTAGATAACTTTATGGCTCATGTTAGTGCCTCTCCATACCATTTGTTCATAAGATTCTGAGTTTCTTCCTGAGGCTTTGACCTCAACCGAATGGTTTGTTGAGGATTGTTGTGAGGAAGTCCCACATTGGCTAATTTAGAGAATGATCATAGGTTTATAAGTAAGAAATATATCTCTATTGGTATGAGAATATATGGAGACGTTCAAAGCAAAGCCATGAGAGCTTATACTCAAAGTAGACAATATCAGAATCATGATTCCTAACATGGTTTAATCTCCAACAGAGAAGCAAATTCAAACAAATTCTAGTTTCTCTCCACTCAAAATTTCCACAACAAAGCCTTTCTGGTACCGTGCAGAAAATTCTAGTTTCTATTAGTCAAGTGCAAAAAAGTTAACCTAGACATGTCTTATGATGTAAGATATTCCTATGAATTATAAACCTCAGGGAGTAAATGAAGGTTATGATGGTAGATATTGAACAGGTCAAGCTCATAAAGCTTGAACCCATAAACTCATATCTTCTGTCCATCAATGCTCAGGGACCATCAAATTATTAACTGGTTCCTATCATCTTAGAATTTAATTTCATGCGAATTGATTTTCAATAGGAATGGGTCAGTGCAAAAAAATTAAACCAGACATGTCTAATGGTGTAAGATGATCCTATGAGTTATGAACCTTGGGGAGTAAATGAAGGTTATGATGATAGATATTGAACAGCTTATAAAGCTTGAATGCATAAACTCGCATCTTCTTCCACCAATGCACAGGAACCATCAAGTTATTTAGTGGTTTGTAACATGTTAGAATTTAATTAATTTCATACGACATCAATGCATAACCAAGTTATGAACAAATTATGACCGGAATCATGTGGGGGACAAAAGAACAGTTATGAACTAAGTTTTGGCTCCCACGTGACCGGAATCATGACCTAAGCTACAAGAGGTGTTAGAACGGAAAACCACCCAAATCTAAGCGATAGAGCTGCCAACGGAAATAAGAATAAATGAAGTAGACATGGACAACGAAAATAAGAACAAATTATGCACCAAAGAAAACAAAGTTAGAGAAAGACTAACTTGATGCAACATGAAAGATTCTCCCCAGATGGAGATCTCAACGAAATCATATCCAAGAGATGTTTCCAGCTTCCCACAAGAACAGCATAGAATTTTTCTGAAGTGCGAGGCGCCTATACGATCTCTCTCATCTGGCTCATGAAGCCATCTTGCACGAACACCCTGCGGAAGCTCTGATCCATTTCCAAGTTTACTGCATACTTCAAATGTATTCTCATTACAACCACTTAAGCTTGGAGAATGTTGATTTGGTTCCTTGATTCCTCCTCCGACAAAAATATCATTTTCTCCATCACTTTCCTCAAACTCCGAGTTCGACAAATCACTAGATGATACCCCATCTCCTGACTTGTGGACATATCCTGGAGATTGGTTGGCTCGAATCCTTGTTCTATACTTGGAACGTATTGTATAGTTATGAAAAGGGTGCTCCCCCTGTACGCAAAAAGAATCCACCCATGTTCTTCAACGCCATACAATTGTCTTCCAAATAACAGTACTAGACTATCAAATAATAACAAATCATGTTTCTTGCAGTGAAGGGAGGTACAAACTGATCTTTATGTAACTAAATGAAGGAGATAAAAACCTACCTGAAAGGAATTTAATATATCCTTAAATTCTGAGATGTGATAATCAATTTCAGTAGTTGTGAGCTTACTTTCAATTCCAATAAGCTTAGCAGGGAGGAGATAAGTATACTTCCGAACATCACACTCCCTTCTAGGATCAAAGCTCCTTGACAAGTGAAAAAAATGATGTAAAGTTACCACATTGTAGTAAAAACATAAAACCGCATCATGCTAATGCTGAAACTTCATTTACTCACTTAAAAGCCCCAAAAAAAAAAAAAAAAAAAAAATTGAGCACTTACCTCTGTGAAGGTACAATGCCAAACACCTTGATATTTTCAGGAAGATAAAAGTTGATGTAATTAGCAAGCAAAATACCACAAGGGTCGCCCATCCATGCACTATCAGGGATTTCCATTTTTAAGGTTATTGTTGTGGCCAAGGAATGAACCTTGAAAATGAAAGAGAAAGAAAAAACAAATCAAAACAACCAATAAGATTATAGAAGTCATAAAATGAGATGCAACAAAGACATTCAAGATATTTACTCCTTTATCAGTTCGACTACTCCTTGCCCAGGAGATTTTGTTCAGATTTCCATAGTTACTTTCACGAATTCCACCAGCTTTATATATTGCAGCTTCCAATTCTTGTTCAATTGCTACACATT